TTTCGTAATCGTAATTCGTAATTCGTAATTTTAAAAATTTTTTCGTAATCGTAATTCGTAATTCGTAATTTTTAAAAAATTTTCGTAATCGTAATTCGTAATTCGTAATTTTAAAAAATTTTTCGTAATCGTAATTCGTAATTCGTAACTGAAAAAATGCCGTAATTCGTAATTCGTAATCGTAATTCGTAATTTTTAAAAAATATTTAAATTAATTTAAAAAATCTTCTTCTTCTTCTTTTTTTCTAAAAATCTTCTTCTCCCCAACTTCTTTTAATCTCTTAATATTCTTGTTAATCTCAGATAAGTTTTCTGCGCCGCAGGCAAAAATTTTGAGAATTTTGGAAAGCATTAGGAGAAAAAATTCATTTGTTAGAGCAGGAAACAAAAATCTTTTTGAAGTTTAGATGGTTATGAAGCCAAAACTCTTAATTTTATGCGCCGCAGGCGAAAATTTTAGAAAATTCATGACCAAATTAAGAATTTTTAAAGTTTTTTCAATTTTAAGATATTAAAAAAAATAAATTTACAAATCTAAAATCAAAATCAACGTTTAAAAACATTTATTTTTGGAAAAAATTTTTCTCAAACTAAATTTCACAATCAGGGTTCGAACCAAGCCACACGAAATATCAAAGGAAGTGGAGCCTTACTTCTAAACCACTCAACCACCAACCAACAAAAGTAAAAAAGAAAGAAAATATATATATTTCTTCCTCTTTTCATTCTAAAATTTAATGGCAAAATTTTCGTAATTCGTAATTTTTCCTGATATTTTCGTAATCGTAATTCGTAATTCGTAATTTAAAAAATTTTTTCGCAATCGTAATTCGTAATTCGTAACTGAAAAAACGCCGTAATTCGTAATTCGTAATTCGTAATTACGACGCAACCCTGCTCTCTCTCATTTTTAAAGTTATGATAAAAAGAAAAAAGTGCCCTTAATTTGCCGCACTTGTAAATTTCAGGCCTGTATCCGAGAAAAGGTTTCAGGTAACTCAACAAATTAAATTTTAAAATTTAAAAAATATTTTTATTATTTTTAAAATTTTTAATAATTTATTAATAAAAATTAATGTCGTTATTCTGATGTGAGCGTTATTCTATATTGCAAATTTAGCTATATTTTCTATCTCTAATTCTTTTTCCTGGCTGCTACATATAAAAATATACACACCCCTCCTTTTACAAAATTTGTTAGAGGATTTCAAAGATGTTAAGAGATGAGAGGGAGTGAGAGGAAGAGTGGCATATGCCCGCACAGGGAGTGAGAGAAAGAGTGGCATATGCCCGCACAGGGAGTGGGAGAAAGAGTGGCATATGCCCGCACAGGGAGTGGGAGAAAGAGTGGCATATGCCCGCACAGGGAGTGGGAGAAAGAGTGGCATATGCCCTCGAGAGGGAGTGATAGGAAGAGTGGCAATGCCCGCGAGAGTGAGTGATAGGAAGACTGGCATATGCCCTCGAGAGGGAGTGATAGGAAGAGTGGCATATGCACTCGAGAGTGATTATTATAGATGGCAGACATTGAAAGAAAAATAAATTGATTGAGGAACACGTGAAAAAGTTAAGGGATGTATTTTGAAAGTTGTTTTTGAATTGTGGCTAATAATGTGTTTTGAGCTGCACTTTATTTAAAAATATTTTTTGTAGTTTTGCCGCTCTAAATTTGTCTCTTTCATATAGCCGGAAAGAAAATCAGATATTTGCACTTTTCATAGAAATTTTTAAAGAATTATACAGTTTTGACTGTAAGATGATGAAATATAATAAAATTTAGGTTGGGCAAATGCCAGTTGATGTCCTTATGCAATGAAGCAACTTCTGGACCCGTAAAATAAAAAGGTAGTTAGGTGATCATCATGGTCAGCGCCGACATACCCTAAGCATCGAGTTTGGTGTCGCCGTTTTTCTATTTCTCCCTCTTTTATAAAAATATCATAACTTTTTTTTGAATAGTGATAAAAATTTTATTTTTTTTGCAAAATAAAAAATGTATTATTCAAAGGATATACAAATTCTTCAAATAAAAGAACGTTTGATTGTGAAATACCATATGGTTTTCCTGTAGATTTATCTATTTCAGCTATCGAATTTAGATTTTGGTTCTATTCAGCAGGTCGAGGTGCATCGAACAATATCAGGGCGTCCCGGATTCAATGGGGGAGATTGGTCGCTTTCCCTAGGATAAGTTAGTGGGGATGCTGGGCTTAAATAATCGGCGGTTAATAGCTCTTTAGGAATGGCCGTTTTTAATATCCTGTGGACCTTCCAGCAAACTTAACTAGAGCGACATTGCTCTTCACCTGTTTTTAAGATGATCCCGGCCTTACAATTTTATTTTTTTACTGTTTAAAAAGGATTAATTAATCGAGAGTTACTTGTCCATTTTGAATTTGTGCTGATGTTCGCAAAAATTTTTTGATGCTAAATTACAAAGAGGACCAATTTAAGGCCTCAATTTTTTATGTATTTTGTCAAAAATGTTTCACAAACTAAGTCCGAAATGTAGTTTAAATTAGGGTTGCGCGAGGTCGAGGCCTCGCCGAGGCCGAGGTCGAGGTCCTCGCCCATTTTCCAATCTCGGTCTCGGTTCGACCGGTCCTCGGCCTCGGAGCCTCGGTCTCGATCCTCGCCAAAAACCTCGCCGAGGAACGAGGCTAAATATACACCCCTAAAAATGGACTTTTTTGGATGAAATAGAAGAATTTTTGCTTATTGTCCTTCCAAGACTCTCAAAATTTTCTTCCGGGCCTACCAAAATTCTAAAAATTTTCGCCTTATTATTTCTTACATTAATTTGGAATCCTTTACTATATAATTTTGTAGCTTTATTTATTGGAAGGAAGGAATCTGGTTGGTTGACAGAAAAAGGAAGGAATCTGGTTGGTTGATTCACAAAATCCTTTCGAATTCTCATTGTTGTTCCTTATATACAAATTAAACGATATCTCCTGTACTTTCATTATCCACCAAATCGCTTTATGACACAGAAAATAGTTAATGATTTAAAATTAAAATTTACCATCTAAATCCCCTGATACATATCTTCCTTTTACCGATATCCATTAAATTACCCTAATACTAATACCCTTTATCCTTACAGATCCCACGATATCCTTCCATATATCTGATATACGCCTTGATCTTCAAAACCCTTTAATCGAATTAATGCGTTCAAGCCCCCTTATATCCTCCTTGGTTCCTCTTTGCTATCCCCATTGATTCTTCTATATAAGTTGATTCTTCCAGCAATCCTCCATCCAACAGTGGCGGAAATTAGTTAAGGAAAAATATTATTAGTAATACATATTTTTGAAAATTATTATTTCTTACATTAATTTGGAATCCTTTACTATATAATTTTGTAGCTTTATTTATTGCAGGGCTCCGATTCGTACTTTATTTGAAAGTACAGTACTTTAAAATCGACCTCCGTACTTACGAAATTGAATTTGTACTTTATTGAAAGTATGTACTTTAAAATCAACATTTTGGATTGAAAATGAAATTGGGGAAGGGATTGGGCAAAAATGATTTTTTTGGCCTACGGCCTTCGAAATTCTCAAAATTTTCGCCTGCGGCGCTGAAAAAGGAAGAAATCTGGCTTATTGGGCTCCAAATTTCAAAAAATTTTCACCTGCGGCGCTGAAAAAGGGAATTTTTTTATCTACGGCCTTCCAAAATTCTAAAAATTTTCGCCTGCGGCGCTAAAAATGGGAGAAATCTGTCTTAAGGACCCCGAAATTTTCCAAAATTTTCGCCTGCGGCGCTGAAAATGGTCGAAAGAAAGTAACTTGCTTGAGGTTAAGACTGTCAGGGCTTTATTTCGTCTGTAAGCGAATTTTGACATGTCATGCATTGAAATGCACAAAATGCTCAGTGGAAACAAGAAATTATTAGAAAAGATTCATTTGGGAGAGAAATATAAAAAATTTGAGCACGAATAAATATTTTTAAATTTAATTTGGAGTGTACTTTAAATTTGGAAATTTTGTCCCTATGTCCTTTAAAATCGAGATTTTTGTACTCTTGATTGGTATTTTGTCGATCGGAGCCCTGATTTATTGGCTATCATATGAGCACTCATTTATTAAATAAAATTTAACGATTAAGCAAGCAAAATTCATTTATCTAAAGAGGGATTTCACAACTTTTGGATTGTGAAACCAGCGCTTCACGCAGGGTTTTGCAGCTCAGCTCGTCGAGCTCTCTTTTAAAAAGCATATTTATCATATCGGTATATCAATATCTCGAATAATGAATCCACAATTTTTTTCAATGTAAATTAAAATATGAATTATCACAACGTTCGTTATTTTTATTCAATAACACACAGGCAGATTTCCAGGCGACGTAGTAGACTTCTGACAGACTAGTGGTGACTTTGGTACCATTTTATTTTGCGGAGTGTGATAAATGATAACATTTCCATTTTGATTAGTTCCTAAAACTTGCTGAGTATGTTGTGAAGTTGTTGAATGTACTTTGGCTGTTCCATGCAGTATTAGGGATTTTATAGCACTCTTATAATGTTTAACTGTTAAAATGGTCACAATTGGATTTAAGACAGCTATCCAATGAATTGGTAAGCGGACAAGCATCATCTTAATTTTGAAAAAAATATTATAATAAAATTTTGGTAAATTATTAGAAATAAAATGTAAAATACATATATTTAAAATAAAAAAGGGAGGGGGGGGGGAGTTTATGGTTGTGGTCAGCTTAGCGCAAGCAAAGCATGATAATAACTTTTTTTGGCCTAAACTAAATCTGACTAAATAGATTTAAATCTACCTAAACGATGACTAAATAGATTAAGACTAAATAGATCCTTAGAAATCCTTGATGAACGGTATCCTTCTTCCGACAAGATGGATCAAGTCTGAACATTCAGTAGAATGTTTGGATGATTCTTTTTGGATGATCAGACTTGTTCCTTCCAGCTAGAAAGGATACCGCTTATTGAAGGCGCAGACTGGTGTCCAGTCTGCGCTCAACTATTTTAGAGAAATGGAATATTTTAAGACATTTAAAGTTCGACTTACAACTTGTAAAGGCACAGAATCTACATTAGAAAAATTAACGTTAAATAATGAAGAAATTAATGTTGTCCATACAGGTACAATTGCAAGAAGTGGTAAAAGGGACTAAAAAATAAATTTAAATATTTTATTAATTTATCTACCTGAATTATCATATTTAAAGTTAACTGGTCATTAATTTCGCTAACTTTAGTTTTTGTATTTTTTATATGTTCCTTCACAAATCGGCGAATAGCATAAGCACAGCAGAAAATAGTTGAATAAGCTGTGGTAATAAAAATCGAGACAACAATCCAAGCAATTGAATAAAATCCTCCCTAAGAATTTATTTAAATTTGATTATTTTGAGAAAATATTAAGACTGAGGTAAAAATAATTAACAAAATATACATAAGACGGGAAAGGGTTTAAATTAATTTTGACTAAATAAAAATTAATTACAGCGCTCTGTGCCAATTGAATTTCATCTCCATTATCCCATTCCAATAATTGTAATATCATTGGATTAGAGCAACACTTATCTTTCCCGACTTGTGGCAACCCAGCTACATAAAGTATCGATGCTAGCACGAAATCGGTTGGGAATAAAATACAAATTAAAGCAATAAAATATTGTGTGGATGATATGTTTATATTTCTAAAATAATTAAAGTTAATTAATTATAAAGTATGAGAGAAGTAAGTTTAGTCCTTAGCCAAGGTTCAGTCCTCCTCCTGGGCCTTATGAATGATCCTGAAACCTTATGGAAGCTATAGCAGTTATTAGATCAACACAAAAAGGTGGTCTACCGAATGAGCAATCGAGGCAGTTTTTGAAATGAACTAAATCTTAGACCCCTGTCATTATGAATTTAGACATTACTAATCTGAATTTAGCCAATAAAAGATTTTCGTATTATTTTAATTTATTTATCCGATTATTTAAAGTATTTTAAATATAACTAATATGTAGTACCTATTTAAAATTAAATAACGATAAATAAATTGTGCTGCAAATCCAAAAAAGGAAAAGAAAAAGCAATTATCCCAAATAAACAAAATCAAGTTTTGTGGAAGAGTGCCTAAATGGCGCATTGGGCCATTCAAAACAACAATTCCAACACCCTCATCAGAAGCATAAATCTAAGAAAATTTGTATATTTATAAAACATTTTGAATAATTATTTTAAAAATTTAGAACCTTCCAACTTAAGAAAAGATCAGTGGATGTGTTAGTTTCGATTAGGATGTTTCTTTGTTACAAAGCTTTTTTTGTTACAAAGTTATAAACGAATATGGACTTATAGAGAGATGCCAATCAAAATTAATAATCAGTTGTCTTATAGAATCGCAAATCTAAGACAGGGATGCAATGCTTATTCAAAACCCGATGCCCAAATTTAGAAAACCGTTTAAAGAAAAATTTTGAAAATCCAATCCGAAGTCTGTCCTAACATTTTCCTCAGCTCATTAAATCCTAGCTCCAAAAAATACATGAGGAAAATATTTTACTTACTTACCTATTTATTTAAAATAACTATAGAATCTTTAATGTTCATAAGTAAGCAATTACCGGTTGTGCCAACAAATTTATTGTTAACATAATTAAATCGGCACAGCATGTCTGCATCAAAATATGACTAAAAACACGCATCTCTTTTGGACTTTTTCGAATAATCAGCCAAATTAATATACAATTAAGAGTTAAGCCTATACAGAAAGCAGAGAGTGCACTAGCTTCGTTTACTTCTCGAATCATTTTTTAAAATTTTTTAAAATTTTCTCTAAATTAAAAAAATAATTTTAATTGAAGAATAATTAATTTTATTTAAAATTCTCAATTTATAAAAAAATTTTAAACAAAGGAACTAAAATTAAACACAAAAAATTTTAAAAATAAAACAAAAAATATTGCGTGATTAAACTGTGGATGTAAATTTCTTAAAATAATTTTAAAATTTGAAGAAATGATAAATTTTGGAAGAAAAAAAAGTTTTGAGACAATGAAAAAACACGAGATTCGAAAAAAAGATTTTTTTGTACGATTTATTTTAATTAGAAAATAGAAAATATAAATTCTTTTTTAAATCCAAAAATAACTTTATTTTATTAATGAAACTATAAATTTTATGACTAAAATACAAATATTAACAATAAAAAACAAAAATAAAAATCTCATTAACAAAATAAAATTTTAAATTTTGAGACAAAAAATTTTAAAACAAAGAAAAAATATAAAATAAAAAAAGTTATTAAAATTGCATACTTTGAGTTTGAAATTAAATTTAAAATTTTAAATTAAAAATAAAAATTTCTCAATTATTTGAGAATTTATTCTTTAAAAAAATTTAAAAAAATATTAAATTTTGGAAAATTTTTTGGAAAAAAACAAAAATAAAGAAAAGGTGTTCGGCAATTTCTCCAATCCATAGTGCCGAAGCCATGCTGAATCCATACTCATGTAAAGCATATAGCTATTTAATTGAGAATTTATTAAGGCTATGCAGTACCTAAGGCTGTGCAGTAGACTGCGTGGTGTGACTAACACATCAGTCCGGTCTACAAAGATTCTGGTTCGCTCCCAGACGGCGATTAACCTTTTGCACTAGCTAAAGGAGAGAAATAGCTATAGCCCCGCTGCTTTATTCTCAGAATAAGGAAGAATATTGAAAGGGGAGTATATTTGGACTTCCTAGGAAGATTAGTATAACATACAATAATAAAAAATGGGATATGGATATAAAGTCCAGAGGTACAAACTCCGAATATTTTCAATACCAGGTTCTACTTCACAATGAAGCACACACATTCTATTCTATCTAAAAATGCTAATTGTAATTTTTTATGCCAATTATTATTTTTTAATTAGCATAAATTTTATACCTAAAAATTTTTTAGTAAAAGAATTTTATTGCTTATTTGTATTTTAATTTTAGAATTTCTCAAAGTGTTAGTCATGCTGCTACTTTTGAGCTTGGAAAATATTTAGCTTATTTGTGGAAAGGCTTTTTTGATTTATAAAAATTTGTTAATGTAAAATTTAAAATGTATATATAATCAAAAATAAAATTTAATTTTTCAAAATTTTATTTCACAATTTTATCATTACTTTCTAATTTAAATCTGAAATTTTACTTTTTCGTAATGTTAATTTACAAGGATCTCGTTGTTATTTAACGATGGTTAAAGATAAATTAGGTAATAAAAATGAGAAGATTTTATACATGGACATTTAATTATTTTATTTAATAAAATACTAGTTCCTTATTTATTTTGTTTTAAGTATTTAAAAAAATTCTTAAAACAGACACTCCTTAATGTCTCAAATATCTGCTAGTTGCTAATTTAATTAAAAAAAAGTAATAAAATTTTGAAATGATATGTAATCTTTTGAGCTATAAGCTTTGAAATAAATTTAATTATACACAAAGGTGACTAAATATCAATTATTCTGCAATGTCTATAATTTAATTTAAAAGTATTTTCTAATAATTTTATTTACTTTGAATGTAAAAAATTTATTCTTAATTTATGTTAAATTAGCAATTTTATTGGTTTTGATCTTTGAAAATGCAAAATTTAATTAAAATTGAGACACAAAAAAGCATAAATTATTTTTGTGTCTGGATATTTGTTATATCCGAGGGTCCGAGGGTTAACTAATGTCGACGTGCACAATAATAACAGTTTATCTAATGTATAAATAACCCATGTGTAGGCGAAGGGATTGAGCTGGAACAGACGAAGGAGATCAGTGACTAGCCGGGCTATTATGATCCAATTTGATTGACGCTTACAGTGACTTTTATAGTAGTGGTTATCACTACACAACAGTATTCTTTAAAAATAGAACAACTTTATCACTTGTAAAAATATAAACAAAATAAAAAAAACATAGATTCTACTAGATTCTACAAAATAACACATAAATAAACATTAAAAAGTATAATTAATTCAACATCCATTCAATTACTTCATCTTTCTTCAAATATTTTACTTCAATTCCAAGCTGGGACATAATTATATCCCTTTCTTCTTTTGACATTTTTGAGAGAAAGGAATCGACACCTTTTTTACGTGGTAAATATGAGGAAATAATTTTTTCTTTAAATTCTTCCAAAATTTGTTTTCCTTTATCTTTACTAAATATATTTTCTTTATCTTGGAGGACCTGAAATTAATAGTAATTAGGTATTTAAATAGATGAAACTCGTTAAATTGAAGGGTTAAATATTTCTTAAAATTTCTTGGATAAACAAATAATCTTTGTTTGTTTATCCACTCGTGACAAATGTTCAGGATTAAAAGTCGTATAAGACCATGGAATAAAATTTTGAAAGGAATCGTATCTGTTCTTTCATTAACATTGAAATTAAACTAATATTTACCAAATTTTGCCTAGATATATTCCCATCATTTTCATTAATTTCAAAATCAATTCCAACTAGCCAAATTATGCATACCCATCCTTTTTTTCTAAATTCTTTTGGGCATTGTTTCTTATCTCGAATAGGTTTTTGTAAATTTGCATGACAAATAGCATCAATTTCTGTTTCAATTGAAAATAATAATTGAAGACGGATACGTGTAGTAGAAAAATCACAAAATTCATCTCCATATTCACTTGTGGAGGAATAAGTGCAGACAATAGCGAGAAATTGATCATACTAAAAAGATTATAGGGGTTATTGTCGATTTTGATAACTAATTATTAAACTAACTTTATCCTTAAATTCACCACCATTTATTAAACCTCCCCACTGATTTTTTAAATTTTCATGGTTCCCATCAAGCTTTTTAGAAATTTTCGATTTTGCCTTCAAAGCATTTTTTATATTTGTTTTTATAAAATCGTGCGCTAAATTTAAATAAGAGGCAGTGTAAAGATATTAATTAAATAGCTGAGAATTGAAAAATAATATTCAGTCTTTTAATTAATTTTATAAAAATTATTACTTGATCGTATTACTCAACCTTAAAGTAATAGTTTACATGCTTGGAATTGTAAAGCATATAGCTATTAATTTCCTAAGGCTGAGCAGTAGGCGGCGTGGTGTAATGGCTAACACATCAGTCCGGTCTACTGAAGATGCTGGTTCGCTCCCAGCCGCCGAATAACCTTTTGCTCTAGCTAAAGGAGAGAAATAGCTATAGCCCAGCTGCTTTACTGAATGTTCCCCGACATTCCAAAAATGATTGCAAATATGTTCCCCACATCTTATGTTAATTATAATGGCAAATTATAGATAAAGAGATTCACAGAACGTTCACTTAATACTTTATATTTTATCACTCAATCAGGGCTGTGCACCATTTTCGGCCGATTTATGACGTATTGCGTTTGGCGTAATTTACGTTTTTGGCTCGCCAGACGCCAAAATTATACATCTTTAATGATGGACACCCATAATGACTCGGTCAGAATCTTCTTTCTCGACTGACTCGGTTGAAACCGAGTATTTTATGCACTGAAGGTGCGTGCTCTTCGTTTCTCACACTCAATCTCCCTTATAGCTCAATCTCCTTTCTTCTAAGCTCTTAATTATATTTAAACCTTGTATCATTTCCCTCCAAATTATTTTCCTTGTGGACATATTTATATTAAATCCAGCATTTTGTTTAGGCAATCCAGGTGTTATTATTGGCCAAACTAATTTTGTATGTTTTTCCATTTTTGAATTCTTTTCCCAAATTGCTTGTCTATTCAAAATTACTTTCTCCAATAGTAACTGTTTTTCTTTTATTTCTTTTTCCAAAATGTGTTTTTGAAAAGGGGAAATTGCTTTTTCTAAAATTTCTTGTTTTTCAATTATTTGGTCTTTTAACACATTTTCTGTATTATTTATGTAAAGTTTATTTCGAGATTCTCTCTCTTTTGTTTCATTCCAGTCTATTGCTTCTCGTAATTCTTCAATGTTTTTGTCAGTTTCTTCGACAATAATAATTGGTTCTAATTCGTTTTCTAGATGTTTCTCCATTTTTTGCTTATTATTGCTACCGTCATTTCTTAACAAAAAAAAATAATAAAAAAATTCATTGTTTTGAATTGATAAATTTATTCTATCAGAGGTGTTATGGCAGTGTGGCTAGTATTATAGTGTGGCCAGTATATATCACAGTGTGGCCAGTATCTATAAAAGTTATACATAATTCCGAGTCTCCTAAATACTTATTCTAAATACTCCAACCTTATTCTATTTCTTCAACCTTATGTATTTCTATTGTGTACATAATAAACACATTATTGTATTGCTTCTTTATTGTTGTACATGATACAACAGGAGGAGGATCCAAACCCGGAGGTTTAAGAAATTGACGGAAAGGGAGAAATCTGTATTCATCACAGATCCATTATGGTATCAGAATCTTTCCCAATTATTATAAGCTCCAATAGTATTTGTTAAATTCTGATGGGATTCTATGTTTTATATTGGCAAGATTAATTAAACAAACAAACAATTTATTTATCCTTTTATATGTAAAAACATCAAAAAACTTTGCTAATATTTGATAAATTGTTATTTTTGTTGAATTAAAATCAACAATTATTTTTGATACTAGAATGACTAATGAAGTGCCACTAAAGAAGCCGAGTTTTCCATTATAAATGAAATGATCTAAAATTATAATTTTTAAGAAATTTAAGAATTACACGCTTAGGAAAAGATTAGGTGGAAATTTAAATTTTGTAAAACATAAATCGAGCTCAACCCAAAAAATTTGTAAAATATTATAAAAATAAATAGAATTTTAATAAGA